CAGCCCGATTCGTAACCACTACGCTACCAGAGCTTCTTATATTTAAATGTGGTGGTGGTTTTGTGCCGTGAAATCAGTTCCAACTCATAGTGACCCTGCATAGGGTTTCTGAGGCTGTAAATCTTTATGGAAGCAGAAAGCCTCATCTTTCTCCTGTAGAATTGCTGGTAGTTTTGAACTGCTGACTGTGAGATTAGCAGGCCAACTTGTAACCACCACACTATCAGGGCTCCTTATATTTAAATATGAGTAGTTTTTTTTTTAAAGACTTAAAAATCATACTGTTAAAAAATAAAACGTGTAATACTCGTGCAAGTCAAAAATAGGGACCTGACAGGTAAATCACTTTGAAGGATGATTTTGAAAACGTTGAAACTGTTTTCTGTTTAAAGTTTTTAATGTGAATTGTTTTCTGTACATGAGATGAGAAAGCTCTGTGAGTTAAAGACATAGAAGGAGCACTAGAAAAGCTGCACAAAATACTGCCTGTGTCTCACATTGATAATGCTGAGTCACTGTATAGAAAGAAGTAACTCTTTTTTACTGCTTAGATTCCTGGCAAGTTTGCAGAGATTGAATGTCACCATTACTCGAGCCAAATACAGCCTCTTCATCCTTGGACATTTGAGGACTCTGATGGTAGGTATTCTTGGGAACCAGTTTGCTATTATTTCTGTAGTTGGGTTGGGATTTTGTTTTTATCATTCACCAGAATGAAAATGATTTCTATATTATAAAATAACAACCTAGATTAATTATGTTTTCCAGCAACTTGTTCCTGGGAATCTTTATGTACATAAACCACTCAACTTTTTCTCAGCCCATAGCTCAAGTACATAAACTAGGCTCTCAAAATAACCCCCTTTATGAAATTTTAGATCTACATCGTAAAATTGTTAGGAATTTATATATATAAATCCATATGTGTAGTGTGCTAGAACTCAGCACTTAGTTAACATTTAGTAAACGTGCCTGGTATTGGCCCAGCATAATGTCAGAGATACGCTATTTTCAAGAGTGTGCTCTGAGTTCCTCTTCCTTTTAGCTCCTATACAAGGAGGGGCTTCAAAAAGCTGTGGAAAATAAAATTTTAAAAGACAAATGGAATTTTTCCATAAGCTTTTTTTTTTTTTTTTTTACTTAGGCAGTTAGTGCCATCAGAGTACCTTTGCCAGTATAGGTTCTTGTCTAGAACTAGTGTGTTTCTATCTTTAGGAGACTAATTGTACTTTGAAAGTAACAAAGCTGCAGATAGTACATTTTTGCTGTTTGTCTCAGCGATAACAATTGCCAAGTTTTTCCAATTTCTCCATTCCATAGACCTTAGCTTTCATTTTGGTTACTACCACCAGAGGGCACTCAAGTACTCATTCTCTTTCATTTAACTCTTGATCTGTGTTCAAGTTTATTGCTCGTGTTAATTGTTCTTATTGTTAAGTGTCATCAGGTCACTTTTGACTCTTAGCGACCCTGTATAGGGTTTCCAAGGAGCAGCTGGTGGACTTGAACTGCTGACTTTGTGGTTCAAGCAAACCTTGCAAGTCCATTGCTTATCCCACAGCACCACACCAGGACTATGAACCTCCCTGTCTTTAAGCTTAATATCTAAAAATTTTAATCTTAAGTTTTAGTTGTTAAATATTTTGTCTAATATATAAGGAGACTTCAAAAATCTGTCACATCACCACTGTAAATGTTCCAAAGGAATAGAAAGATCCTTACTCTCTTTGATATTATCTATTATATTTCCATTCATACTTCAGATAAAATTCTGTGGGTTAATATATTTTTATCATTAGAAGTCTTCCTTGTAATCTTGTTGATATGCTCCTCTACCCAAAAACTTTGTATCTAAACTAAAAGTTTAAGAAATTGGTTTTTCTTAACAAAAAAGGAGAATAGGAAAGAAAAAATTGTCTTAACCATTGGGGAAAATTTGAAGGTACATGGGGACCACTCTGTTTTTTGTTTTGTTTTTGAAACTTCCTATGGATCAATGTGTGTTAATGCACCAGACTGCAAAGTCATTTGAATTGCAAGGTCGGCAGTTCTAGTTCACCAGTCACTCCTTGGAAAACCTATACAGGGTTGCTATGGGTCAGAATTGACTCAGTGGCACTTAACAACAACAACATAGATCAGTAATGATCTTAAATTGTGATAAATGTTTAAACCTGAAAAGCCACATCTCTTAGTGATGCCCGATTAAAGGAGACATCATGGATGCTACCACTTAGTTCATCTTGTCTTTAGAAGTCCACTGACCTCTAGCTGATGGCTAAATAATTCTTTTCACTCTAGGAATACTGAGGTACAAAAAGAGACAAAGATAGAATATAAGAACTCCTAAGTATCTGGGCTTTACGATTTGCTGTTTTGTTTTGGGGGGAAGGGGAGAATAATCCTTGAGGCAGTTTTCTTTCTCTTACTCTTGTTTCCCCTAGGATATATAGTCTATGATTAAGCACTTGACTGCTGAGAAATCAAGACTAAAAGACCCTTCCCAAAGCTGTTTCTGTGATTTTAGAACTAGATGAAACATGAAGTTTAGGTGCAGTTGTCATGATAAAAATATCACCAAAGTCATCATCACTGCCTGTGTGTATTTCAGCCAGAGGCTCAGACTCTGCCGTCTTCTGAGTGAGACAGAGATCCTAGGCCCCAGAGCCCAGTGATGCCCACATGGCCTGTCTGGGATATGTTAGGCACATTCCTTTTATGTATAGGACTTTTGCGAAGGTTTACAAAACCCTTGTGGAGTCAACTTTAGTACCATACCTTCTGGATCTAGGTTCCCTCTTGAAAGTTTGTAAGCCTCACTTCTTACCTTTGAAGCCCCCCCCCCCCCCCCCATTTTGGGTAGCCAGTGTGCAAGTTCAGACCATATACTTTCCTCCCTTATGCTCACTGTTACTTTTTTCTAAAGAGGCCCAAGTTCTACTTGAAAAGCAGAAATCTGTTGCTGAGAAAACTCTGAAGGGAAAAGAGGAGAGATACATGACATTATGCGTTTTTTCCCTTAAGGGCTTTCATGCTCCTGTAGAAAAGAGATAGAAGGATAATCTCTTTAGAATAGTATTTCAGTGAATCAAGTCGTTTAACCCTTTGTTTCTGGCGATCTGTAGCTATCTTATGATAGCAATAGGCCTCTTTCTAGAACATTCACATGCACTTAAAAGTTTGGACTTTCTGAAGCCAATCCCTCCTATTCCAGAATGTTAGTCCTGCCAAGAGCAATATGGAAATGGTCTGTATCTGTGCTGTCCTGGGTGCTAACCACTAGCTACATCTGACTAAGGAGCTCTGGTAGCATAGTGGTTACGAATCAGGCTGTGAACTGCAAGGTCAGAAGTTTGAAACTACCAGCTGTTCCGCAGGAGAACGATGAGGCTTTGTGCTCCCGTAAAGATTTACAGCCTCGGAAACCCTGTACCAGGGTCACTATGAGTCGGAACTGATTCCATGGCACATAGCAACAACAAAGTGTGGCTAGTATAAATGAGGAACTGAATTTTTTAATTTAGTTTTAATTAATGTAAACTCACTACATGAACTATTGGTAACTAGTGTAGATCTTTCTGACAGCTTATCTAGCATGATTCACAGAGATAAAAATTATGGGCATTTTTATGTTACAGGTTGTGGCAAGTGGAGTTTAAAATGATGTGAGTCTTTCATTCTGAATTTAGATGTACTTTTTCCTTTTGGTTTTATCTAACAAGTAGTAAACTCTTAAGAATCTTTTCTGTGGAATTATTTGTTCAGAAATGAGAGTTGGAATCCTGTGCTTCCCAAACATGAGTGATTCTTTGGGTTGTAATTGTTTCTCCCTTCTCCTTGTTTCAAGGAAAATCAACATTGGAATCACCTGATTCAGGATGCTCAGAAGCGTGGTGCCATTATTAAGACCTGTGAGAAGAACTATAAGCACGATGCAATGAAGATTCTGAAACTGAAGCCTGTACTACAGCGAAGTCTGACTCACCCTCCTGCTATAGCCCCAGAGACCTCCAGACCCCAGGGCGACTTACCCAGCCACAAGCTAGACAGCGGACTCACCACAACATTTTATTCTTCTGTGTGTCACAGCCCCACTGACTCCAAGGAAGCTGCTGTCACTTCAAAGGACCCTGAAAGACCTCCTCTTCATGATCTACTTCGGGACCCACGACTGCTTAAAAGAATGGGCTCTGAAGCCATAGGGAAATTGTTGAGGGATCCACAGTCTTCGAGCCCCCAGCATTCTGGAGCAACAGCTCCTGCAGGAGAGCCAAGTGTTCCTATAATTTCCCAAGATCTTGGTAATATGGTGCAGCAACCCACTGCTAAAATGACCTCTCCCAGCAACCACAGCTCTCATGTGCTTTGTGAACTTACAGCTGTTAGTACAGATGCTGCCACAAGTAAAAGAAAATGTGGTGACCAGGAAGGAGGAGTCAGCCATAGAAGAGAGACCAGGTCTGAGACCAGACCTTTCAGTGAAGAGGATCAGGAAATGGGTAGCTCTGTGGCCTATCACAGGAGCTCTGACTGGGACAACAGGAAGCTGGAGAAAGAGGACAACAGTTCAAAGAAAAGAAAGCTTTTATAGTGAAGCCAAATAGCATGAGCAATCAGCCCACAAGCATTACCGTTAACAGTGACTAACTTATCAGACTATCTAGATACCATCCTTTTTTTCCCTAAAGGAGTTTATGTGCTGTTGTAAAACCATGGAAAATGGGTCGTAACACCTGAGGCTCTTGGTCCATCTTGATGCATTTTTTGCCAGTTGCAAAAGCATTCAGAGGCATATGTGTATCAGTAATAATGTTCTTGAAGCCAGAGACTGGAAAGATTGATCTCTTGTTCGTCTATAGAAAAAGAGGTCGAATGAGGAAATGTTCTAAAAGTTAAAATGTCTTATTTATATAGCAAATAACAAAATCCTTCTAAATTTTAATTTAGTAGACCTCTTTTTTTCCCCCTGTTTAAAATGTTAGTCATTTTCAACAGAGCAAACCTTGTATTTAAGTAGTAAGAAGAGGGCAGATCCTTTGAACCATTGTTACGGCAAGACAGATTTCTTTAACAACCTAAGTTATTTGGAATAAACTGAGTTAGTGCTAGTGGGTCCAGTGTCTCTAGTTCTATTAAAGAAACAACTGGATCTCCTGGAAAAACTTTAGGAGGTACCATTATATTAGGTAAAGTTCTGCTGCTGCTGAACATTTTTAAACGAGACACCTTGGCACAGGACATTAAATTTCTGTGACAAGTTCATCTGTTTTAGCACCTTGTAAACTAGAAATCATCGTACTGGTGACGGTCTGCTCTTGTGGGCTATCTGATCAGAGTTTTAGTGTTGGAGGCGATCGTGCTTTTGTGAAAGGAAAGTGACTGTGGTGACTGATGACTAAGAAGTTTGGGTGTCCAGTTTTCCAGACATCCCCACAGGAAGGAACTTGTGAAGTATTAGAAACATGTGAATATATACATGAGGGCTTCACAAAGTTTATGAGGAAATGGAATCAAAAGATAATGGAATTTTTTCCATACATTTTTTGAAGCCCCAACACATTACTAACAGTTGACAATTGTGATAACTTGTGGTTTGTAGCCCATTAGCTAACTTGGGGTAGGAAAACAAATTCATGAACATTAATTTGCATTATTTAAAATTTTATTTGTTATCTACTCTTTAAGCAAAAAGGATTCTGCTAATAAAAACTCTACAGACACAGGCTACCAAGAACTTTAAGAAAACAATTTTGATTGCCAGAAGTTTAGACATTTCTACTTTATTACCTTGTTAGTCAGATCTAAGACATCTGACTAATGTTGAATGAATACTCGTGTAATTTGGAGAGCAAATGACTTTTTAGAGTCAGCCTCTGCTTCCTAATTTGTGGGTGCAGGGAATTTGTCATTTGTAGTACCAGTGTAACCAAGTTCAGGATAGAGATAGAGTCCACTGCTGGACTCAAGGGCTCTCCAAGCTGCCTCTGTGTGCCTTTGGCAAGAAATCTCAGTGTTCTTTTTTGCTACCTTTGTAAAGCCCTAGATTTAGCAGCAACTTGTACTGGTGACAGCTTACTCTAAAACTTCTCTAAACTTCTAAAGGAGGGATGACAAAACCATTTGGAATTAGGAAAGTCTCCTACTCTGATCATATTAAGAAATTTTCCCAAAATGCATACTTGATTACCACACACTGAATAGTCTTTCCAGTTAAGTTTGATGCCTCTTTCTGTTCACCTTTGGTGTTCGTTGCTCACCTCATCTGGTTATGTGGGAATTCTCAAGACAACTGCATAATCTTTTCTAATGAATGAGCCTATGTCCTTTGACAGCCTCTGCCAGCAAAAGGCCAGTTGGACCTGACATTAAAATTTGAAACTATTTGCTGTTCCAATTGGTAGAAGTATTTACAAAAAGCTTTTGTGCATACAAATGCTGTGGCCTTTCTTATGTGGCCATCACAGCAGTGTTGTTGGAGAGTGGTTACTCTTACTACGAGGTAGAACATGCGCCTGTTGACTTCATCCTCGTTGTGGCGTCTTTTCTTTCTATGTTAATTGTTTCAACATAAGTCAATTCTACCTAAAGACATATTTTTGTTTTTTTTGTATATAATTTGCCTTTATTGTGCATACTTTGTTTATGTATTTGCGTGTATGTATTATCAGGAGCAAATAAGTACATGTGAATAATCTCCTGTACATGAATTTTATAGCAAAAATATACTAAATTATTTTCTAAAATTAATTGTACAGATTAACACTTTTTTTTTTTTACTATAGCTTTTGACTCTTTATATGCTGTGAATTCATAGCTGAGATTTGGCTAACAGTAGCCCTGTTGTCATTGTTAAAACCTAAATTTTAAAAGAAGATGGCAGAATAAAAAGTAAAAACAAGAAAAATAACATGAATTATGAGTTATATATTACTGAGTTAAGGTGCAAGATATTTACCAGGTAATTCCTTCAGCCTACCAATTGATGTGTTTTATGCTAAAACTATTTAGCAGGGAATTTTTTTTTTTCGGATGTTAAGAGTTTGCTCTCCAACCCCCAGCTTGTGTTTTCCAGCTCTTTTTGGTGTACTAGTGGTCACCTGTGGTGTTCAGTTATGTATTAAAAGTTTGCTCCAGCAGAAATGCACACTCCGCCTTAAGCTAGGATTGGGGAGGAGGGGGGTAAATGAAATAGTGACCCATGAAAGGAACTCCCAGAGGCACCGATGGCAGGGCACGGTATAAATGTCCAGGCCATGGATAATTGCTGGTGGGTACAGAAGTGGAATGTGTTTTATGAACGCAATAACTTGAGGAAATGTAGTCCCATCTGCCCACACTTATGCCTGTGGAAGGGCACTTGACCTCAGCCTCAGTGACTAATAGTACACCTGAGTGCGTGTACAAAAACAGCCCACCTTGGCGTGCTTTGCTCATCTGGAGTGTGGACACAGATTACTGAGAAAAGGTAACAGGATGTACTGGGGAGTTACGGGGGATAATGAATTTGCCGAGTGACCTGAGATGGCCATTTCCTTTTTAGAAATGATGCTGAAGCAGCTGTAGCTATGATTTCTAAAGTCACAACATCTCGCTGCCCAGTCCACCCACACCATCACTGACCACCACCTTCTTGGATTTCACCATTCATTGTTAAGAGAAATAATTCAGGGAGGAAACAAAAATTTAGCCTTCCCTTAAATAGAATTTATAACGTTGTTCAGCACCATAAATGTATACACAGAACCCTACTGTAACTCAAGAGACTTACTGTACAAAAAACATTTGCCAAGTGAGATGGCATAAATGGTGTCCATACATGGGGGACGGCTCCTCTATGTGTGCTGGAATTTGCTCAGACGGTTAAATCTATATACACACTTGCCTTGGTTTTTTATTTAGTATTGCTGCAAATTGACTTGTTAGACTAGGATGCACTTTGGAGTCCCATAGGGAGCTTTTGAAATTTTTCAATACCTAGGCTCCCCACCCTCTCCCACTCCAGGATTTCTGATTTTGCCATTTTGTTAATTCCTAAGTTTAAATTCACTCCTAGATGATTGATACTGTTAAGCAGCCAGATTTGGGATGTGGCTCCTCTGGGCGCCAGAAGGAGAGTGGGAAGTGAGGGTGTTTGGTTTCTTAAATACTTCTATCTCTCTTGGGTCCCCTGGGCAATGAGACCCTTCACAAAAAACCTCGGCCTCACTGCTTTCGTTCAGTCCCAGAGCAGAACAGGACTAGGGGAAGGTGACTCCTGAAGCCATCAGAAGATAAGGAAGTAGAAGGCTCCCTAAGTCCAAGACAATTCAGAGTAAATCATTGTAGTCCAAGTGATACAAAAGAACCAGTCAGGATGTCTGGCTCCCAACAAAGATGCTGGGGTAGGGTTTCTTAAAATAATGGTATGCCTCAAGTTTAGCTTAAAGAATAACTACTGATAGGAGTCCTGGTGGGTTGCTGTAGGAGAAACACTGTACTGCTATCCACAAGGTTGACAGTTCAAACCCACCAACTGTTCCTTGGAAGCTACACAGGGTCGCTGTGAATCAGAACCAGAGATTCTGATTCAGAACACAACAGCATGTACTGAGTGCTGCTAGTCTGCTAGGGATATGCACTCCCCAAACCTATCTCCTTGGATTCTCCCACCAATGCTTTTTCTCATTATCCATGACTCGTCTGTCAGTTTGCCATACTGTGGTGGCTTGTGTTTTGCTGTGATGTAGGAACTGACTCGACGGCACTTGACAACAAGAAGGAAGCTATGCTACTGGTATTTTGAATGTTGACAGGGTCACCCCTGGTAGACAGGTTTCAACTGAGCTTCCAGACAAATTTGGGAGGAGAGGCTGACTACTTTGGAATGTTTACCCACTGAAAACATGAATAGCAATGAAACACAGCACCAGAATATTGAATATTGAAACATGATGAAAAGTACCAGAGTGCCGGAAGATGAGCCTGTCAGGTTGGAAGACACTCAAAATACAAATGGGGAAGAGCTCATGGAATAAAGCTGCTGGAACCTTCATTTGCTGATAGGGCACAGCTCAAAATGAGGAGAAACTGCTACAAATATCCTTTCATAACTGGAACATGGAATCTATGGTATATGTATCTAGGAAAATTATCAAAAATGAACACATGAACATCAATATCCTAGGCATTAGTGAACTGAAATGGACTGGTATTGGCCATTTTGAATCTGACAATCACATGGATTACTATGACGGGAATGATAAATTGAAGAGAAATGACATCGAAATAATGAAAGGATTTCAAGATCTATCTTGAAGTATAATGTTGTCTGTGATAGGATAGTATCCATATGACTACAAGGAAGATCAGTTAATAACCACTATTAATTCAAATTTGTGTACCATCCACTAAAGCCAGTGATGATGAACTTGGAGAATTCTATTAAATTCTGCAGTCTAAAATTAATCAAACATGCCATCAAGATGTACTGATAATTACTAGTGATTAGAATGCAAAGGTTGGAAACAGGTAGGACCAGTAAGAAAATATGACCTTTGTGATAGAAATGATGCTGGAGATTGCATGATAGAATTTTGCAATACCCGTGACAAC